TGTATTTATCAAACATCCTTCTTCTGTAGCTTGGTGCTATTCAAATTCAAGTACAATTTGGAGATTATGATGAAGGAAAATACAAATTAATTGAGTAAGTACACCACCTATTAATGTATCATTTGACAGTATGTAGTCTAGTAACCACTTTATAGGGAGGGCTGGTTGCTAGTACAAGTCCTTTTTATGGCTTATGCTATTGCAAATGCCAAGCTCATGTGCAAGTCTGTCCAAATTGCTTTGTAAGCTTACAGGAGCTTTTAAAGGCAAAGTATTTAGATTGTGGTTCAGCTAGTAAATAGAGTTTATTTCATGGAAAGTGCGACGTACGGGATTTTATTCACGAGTTGTTTGCATCATACACTTCAAAACTTCATCTGATACACTTCAAAACTTCTCAATTAAAAGAGCTTGTTGACAATGAAAACATGTGTGAATTGTGTACACGTACATTCTATCCACAATAACTTAATAATCTTCTTTGACATAAAACTACTCGGATGTTTTAATTGATAAAACTATGCATTTTGAAAAGATTTTTACTCTTTAGTCTTCAATAAACTCTTTAATACAAACTGTCAACAAATACAGAGAGCAAAGATAAGCAAAGAATTTGAGAATTTGAAAAATGGATAATCATTATGAACATTATGATTCCTTTGTTTACAAAACTTTCAAAATGTATTTATTACTTATCATTAATGATCACTGTATGTCAAAAATGTATTGATTTAATAGTGTCATTCCTGTGTGATTAAATTATTATTACGTATGCTTCCTGTGTGATTTAAAAACCACCAAAACTGTCAAATTGCATAAATGACCCATAAATCATTTTTTTGGATCACTGTATGATTGAAAAATATCAACTGCCAAAATGTATTTATTATTATGTATCATTCCTGTGTGATTAAATAAAGGATATTACATGGGTGCATGGAAATATTGTGCTAACTCCTGGGATATGTAAATTCAAAACTTGAAGATAAAATTCATATCTTCAAGCGACAGCTGTTATGTTCTGTCTATTAAATGACATTGGTGTAAGTAAAAGTCTGTAGTTACATAATCATTAGAAGATCAAAAAGTTTGAACATTTCAAGAACATATTAATTATTAATTCATGATTTCTGCATGATTGAATAATACCAAAACTGTCAAAATGCATTTATATTATTTGATGATTCCTGTAAAGATTTAAACATACATGTACCAACTATTAAGAAAAATTAAAACAACAAAATTGCAAACAATTTCTATTGACATATAAAGATGCATTTCTTATTATTCTTATTATTTCTGCATGATTGAAAAATACCAAAACTGTCAAAATGCATTTAACATTATTTATAATTCCTGTATGATTGAAAAATGTCAAAGTTTCAAAATATATTAATAATTAATATTAATTTATGATTTCTGTAAGATTATCTAAGGAAGTTTTATTTTGGTAAATAACCA